GGTTTATAGCTGGAGCAAGATAGAGGCCACTTCTTCTAGTGCTGGGGGTTTATAATTTACTGTGGGTATATGCATCTGTTGCACGATACAGTCTGCAGGAAAGAGTTCATCTTTTAATGGTCCTTCACTCATAGCTGTTACAATTAAGCCAATATTTAAATATTCTAATGCTATCATATGAGCAGCATTTCTTGGAATACTCATGGCAGTCAATGTTCCAGGCAAAATCCAACTAAAATTCCTAGCCAATGTTACTGTCACAGGTAATGCAAATAATTCCGTAGTACATAAACGTGCATCAAGTACACTGACAGTAACACGTTCACGAGAGTCTTCACAAATAACAGCATGGTTTATCTTTTGTGAACAATATCGTAATCCTCGATGAATACGCTCAAGCTCGTTTTCAGTTATACTTGATTCATCCTCATCTGTTACACCGATAATCAGTTTAGTATGCTCCTTCTTCATAAGTTTTAAATACTTAATAAATGTAGCATGTGCTCGTGTATAGTCTTTTAAATACACACAGGCATTGGCTATTCGACTGTGAGCAATTTGACTAGTTGAGTGAAGTTCAAGCATTTTTTCAGCATCAACCATACAGTTGCTATATTGTTTCAATTGACCGTATAATAATGATCGTAACGACAATAAACTAAACGCAAGCTGATTATCTGGTGGCAACAATTGTAGTCCCGCACTACACAGTTCTAATGCATATTCACGTTGAGAGAAACATTCGTGTGCATACTGTAATAATGTACTTGCTGTATCTAATGACTGTTCATGATAGATCAACGTTCTCAAATTTTTTCTCACATCAAATACATCAACTCCTTCAAAACCAAGTGTAATGTGAAAATCGATCATTGGTAAACTTAAAGACTGACGAATTTTACGACCTCCATGCCAATAAGCAATTACGAACCAGACACGATTATCACCTAGTGACTGTTTACCTAACCCTACCACAATAAACTGGCTTTCAGCTGGAGATAACGGCTGCTGGAGTAATTGTTTGCATTCGAGAGTTTTAACTTGAAATTCTTCTTTAGTTACCACAGATATATGAAAACTGTTGTGATCTCGTTTGGCTTGAGCCTGTTTAGCTTCTATTGGTACTTGTGATAAATACTGTTGCGCTGCTTGATCGATCGCTAGACCAGATAAAATACAAACGACCACAAGATATTGACATTACCAAAGATTTGAATTGTTCTGGGATGCACTTTTGTATATTTTCGTAGTCTCAAATTGCCTGCAATTAGAAATATGTAGAAGATGTAGTGGTAAAGCCGAGTACTGTCACACTTTAGCACAATTTTAGGGAAAATGTCAAAATCTTATTGGTATATTAAAGATTTAGATGTAAACGCTCTCGAAGTTAACTTCGCGTTAATTCTGAAAAATTTGTAGTGTGAACGTAGTCTAATCAGAAGTCTATTTATATTTTTCGCATTTGAACGGGTTAAGTTAAGCTAGAGGAGAAAGTTGCTGGAGGAGAATCAGCTGTTTTTGTCGTCCATCATTAACTTTTGACCATTTTCAAAATTTGATACAAAATTATAAATTAAAGGCT